TCCCACATACAGCAACTAGAAGGATGTGCAGCTATGACAGACAACTATGTACTGGGGCTTTGGGGGAAAAATAAATAAATAAAATCTTTAAACTTCAGTGGGTGCAAATGACTGTCATTTACTTAGCACATGAGATATCTCAAGGCATTCAAAACCTACCCCCAAATGCCTTGAGTCCATTTTGTCCATCCCTCTCCCCAAGAAGGAAAACACAGCTACATAAATTTCTAGGGGCAGCTGGTTACTGCCCCAGTGGATTCCTAATTCTGCAGCCCTTGCTAAACCTTTGTATGCTCTTCTCCCAGATATCACCCCAGAGCCAATTTCCTGGTCTTCACAGGCATTAAACTCCTTTGAAGCTTTAAAATTAACTTTGTCTACACCCTGGCTCTCGGCTTACCTAATCTTGAGAAACCTTTTCATCTATACTACCATGAAAATAGTGGAACTGCTGCAGGCATTCTAGGACAGTCTTTGCCTCTCAGATATGTCCTATAGCATATTTCTCATGCCAACTAGTCCCCGTGGCATCAGGCATGCCCCCATGCTTATGTGCAGTGGCCACAGCTGCCACCCTGACTGACAAAGCCAGTACTCTAACGTTAGGCTCTCCCATTCATCTCTATGTTCCCCATGCTGCTATTTTGCAAGTTCACAGGACACAACACCTCTCTACAGGATGACAGACCACCTATGAGCAGGCTCTTGTAACTAACACTTCCACTATCTTAAATCATTGTCACACTTTACATCCAGCTACCTTACGACCCCTCCCTGATGATGGAGAGCCCCACTCCATCCCACATGATTGCCCTGCAACTACAGAAACGGTCTCAAAGCCATGAGAGGATCTCGCGGATATCCCTTCAGACAATCCAGACTTTTGTTTTGTGATGGCTCCTGCCAATGGAATTTCTGGGGAAACATAATAACTGGTTATGCCGCAGCTTCCCCACATGAAATGCTTGAAGCTTATTCCCCACCTACTGTAAAATCAGCCCAAGCTGCTGGACTCATAGCTCTTTCTAGAGCCTGCACACAAGCAAAAGGGAAACTGCCACTCTTTACACTGACTCCAGATATGCTTTTGGAGTCTGCCATGCTGTTCGCACAATTTGGAAATTCCCTGGATTCTCAACTTCCGCAGGAACCCCTATTGCTAATGGACACTTAATTGCTGCCCTGTTACTAGCTATTCACCTCCCTTCTCAAATTGCCATTGTTCACTGTTCAGCCCACACTCAGGAGACTGATGTCATATCTTCAGGAAAAGCTGCTAAATATGCAGGTCATCATGGAGCCCCTTGTCCTTTCTTCACCCAATTTTTAAACCTGCCTTTAGCCCTGACTCACACTATTAACTCTCAGGCAAATGCCCCACGAAAGGAGTGCCAAATAATGGATACAAAAGGGTGCCAAATAATGATCAGATGGATTTGATACTGGGCGAAAGGACTTCCTGTAGTTCCTTTTCCTTTGACTTTTTGGCTTCCCCTTATCTCCCACCAAATGGGACAGATGTGGGATAGTTAAGGAAACAAAAGACAATTAGTTTTGCCCTAGCAGCCACAAAATTTCTGACCCAATTATTTCCCAGTGCACGACTTGTAAATCTCACTGAGTTTCTGGGAGAAATCACTGTACCCCAGGAAGCCCTCCCAGGCCCACACCGCCCTTTGCGGCACTCCAAATGGACTTTATAGACCTGCCCCCAGCTTTAGGCTATTCTCACTGCTTGGTTATCATCTGCATGGTGAGTGGATGGACCGAATGCTATCCAACTAGACAAGCAGATGTCACAACAGTGGTAAAGAAATTAATAACAGGTTATTCCTTGTTTTGGCATTCCTTTATGGATTGAATCAGACCAAGGAGCTCATTTTACAGTAGATAAACCACTTGCTTGCAGAAACTCTAGGGTACTCATTATAATTTCATTCCCCACATCATCCTCAATCATCAGGGCAAGTGCAACGTAAAAATCTAGACATCAAAAGGACTTTAGCAAAGGTCTGTCAGGAAACTGGGCTTAAGTGGGCAGAAGCTCTGCCCTTGGCCCTTATGAAGATCCAGAATACTCCAAATAGGAGACATGGATCGACTTCTTTTGAAATAGGTTTTGGATGCCCGATGCCTACTGGCATCTCTAAACCTTCCATTCCTGGCTTAAGTGAATATTATGGGAACTTAAGTGAACCATTTGATGCCAAGACTAGCTATAGACAAAAATTAACTAGTATACTTGAAGCATATCATCAACAGGTAAAAGAGGTATGACTCCACCATCCCTTTGGACCAGGAGATCAGGTGTACATCAAGGTCTTTAAAAGAAAACACGCAGTGTCATCTCACTGGGAAGGACATTATGAAGTCCTGCTGACCACATACACTGTCATCAAAATAAAGAAAAAATCTTGCTGCATCCATGCAAACCACACCAAAATAGACCCAGAATATCACTCTCAAGACAACTGGGAGAGTCCCCACAATCCTTTTTTTTTTTGTGAGGAAGATCAGCCCTGAGTTAACATCCATGCTAATCCTCCTCTTTTTGCTGAGGAAGACCAGCTCTGAGCTAACATCTATTGCCAATCCTCCTCCTTTTTTTTTGTCCCCCCCCAAAGCCCCAGTAGATAGTTGTATGTCATAGTTGCACATCCTTCTAGTTGCTGTATGTGGGACGTGGCCTCAGCATGGCCGGAGAAGCGGTGCGTCGGTGTGCGCCCGGGATCTGAACCTGGGCCGCCAGTAGCAGAGCACGCGCACTTAACCGCTAAGCCACGGGGCAGGCCTCCCACAATCCTTAAACTAAGAATTTCCAGGGCAAATTCCCAGGCCCCAGAAGCAGCCGGCCTCACGGAGTAGATGGCTTTTCCTAAGATCATGGATCAAGAAACCTGGCTTTCATCTGTTTTCCCACCTTCCTTTTAAAACTCCCGAACACACACACACACACACGCACCTTTTCCTATTAACAAATATATATATATTCCTTTTAATCATATATTAGAAAGCTGACTGGAGAGCACTCTTCTTTATCTGTCCCTCTTCCCTCTCTAAGTTTCCACTATGGGCTTTTTCCAATCTGTCTTGCTTTTACTAACGCCTCTCTTTCTCAACAGGTCGAGCGCAGACCAAACTCCCCCTTATGCCAGTTTACCAAACCCTGGCCACACCAAGTAATGCATCTGACGGCGGGTTATGTCAACAGCTAGACAGTGCAAAAGAACCTAAACTAGTCTCTGCTCCTGCTGATGTAAACACCTGGTGGACTAAGTATGGAAGATGGATGAACGACAGGGTATGGCATCCACGACAAGGAAAACATCACTCTGCTTCTTCTCCTGGTGAGTCACTTCAGCCCCAGAAAACCTCTACAGAAGCTCAAGGACTGTCCCTTGCCCAGATAAAGACAATTGGTGAAAATTGTTCCCTTTGCATTGAAAGTAAACATGACACTGGACCTTTCCTGGGTGACACACCAGGACAGCAGTGCAACCAAACTCTGTGGTTTGATTCCACACGTGGCATCTTTAAACTTCTCAAGGGAATCGTAAGTGACTCTAACACTACTCCCTTTGGCACAAACATCTGCCAAATCATTAAATGTTCTGGATGGTTTACAAACCACCCTCGTACAACTTGGGGTATTGCAGCTGCCCGCATGGTTAAGCTGCACAAAACCACCAACTATATATGGGTGGATCCAAACTCTGGACTCACTTGGTCAGGTGACAGGATCAGCCTTTATAGCTGTCAAAACCAGAGGACCTATACCAGCTACTCTGCAATCTGTTCTGCTCTCCCAGGTTGACAGGAGCACATGGAAAATGGAGATGTTTAGGCACTAACAGTACCAGTGGCAAAGGTCACAGAATACTCCAGACCCTGGGAACTATAGGTTCAGTTCTAACCTTGTCTGTAAACCACACTGGTCTTTTTATTTTATGTGGCAACAAAGTACATAAAAGGGTTCCCACCTAATTGGTCAGGATGATGTGGACTTGGATACCTGGTCTCTTCTGTCACCAGATACTCCACCCTAAATGCCAGCCACATTGCAAATGGGTTTGTTTGTCGTTAAGATTGTGCCACATAAACGTGGCAGTTGAGAAATCATAGAGAATCTGCTTGTGTATAACAAGTTCAAGTTCTTTTCAGCATCAAAGTCTTATTCTCCAGCTTTGGAAATTATGAGTTGGAAAAGGCAATCTTAAATCTCTCCATGGTAATGAACAAGAGTTCACCACCACCATGCAAACTTTGAAAATGCTCCAGTCACAGATTAACAGCTCAGCCTCTGTGGCCCTCAAAATCGATGTGCTCTGGACACACTGGCTGCCCAGCCAGGAGGAGCTTGTGCAGTCATCAGTGAAAAATGTTGGTTTTATGTGAACCAAATGGAGCAAGTAGTATCTAACTTACACCTATTAAAAGAGAAGACTGACAGTTTCCATCAGATGAATGAAGCTCACACATTTTATCGGGCTGACTTATTCCCAGGATCGGGGAACTGGTTTAATGGCGTGTGAGGAGATGTGCTCTGGTCCCTTCTTTTCTGTTTGTTCATCCTCATTCTAATCTATGTTCTTTTCTCTCTGCAGATTTCTTACCGCTCAGCTACTATATCTCATTTTCTCTCTCCACAGTCACCAGCTCAGCTTTTAATATGTGAACCTTCTAGGGAAGTTTCAGAGAAGGGAACTGATGGGGTTTAGGGCAGGCCACTCCAAGGTGTGCCACTCTGGTATGCAGATTATTTTGAGCTGAAGACGATCAAGGCTAAGAAGACTCTGAAGAACACTTGACCTTCCCCCAAATTGCCTAAAAGAATTTCAGAAAGAAGGGCCTGTCCCAGGAAGGAGAACTTACCATAGATAATTCTAGGTGTGGTAGGCAGGAAGGCATCTAGCAAGGGCCATTTTATCAAAAGATTTCTTTTGGGTCCCATTGTCTATAGATAAGACAATGTAAACATGTGTTACCAAATATGAACTCTTCCCATCTTCCTGTAAATTGCTTTCTCCCCCTTTGAAGGCTCAGATCTCTATCTCCCTCTCCTTAGTCCAGAAAGACATAGATATCTCATTTTCCCTATCTTTGGAATTCTTCAAGCTTATGTGAATTTCCCATGTGCACATATTAAACTTTGATTTTCTCGTGCTAACCTGCCTTGTGTCATTTCTAATTCTATGACCAGCCATAAGAACCGGAAGGGGAAAAGGGGTTATTCCCCCTCTTCCCCTACATCTTCAATTTGTAAAAAACACAATATCTGCAAAGCACAATAAAATGAGGTATGCCTGTAATAGGTATTATGACTTTGTTAAATTAACATTTGTTAAGTAGAGCCCTGGGGGTATTAGATGGTGAGCCTCTGTTCAACAACAGACCACAAAGGAATTGAAATAGAGAAGTCTGTTACTCACAGGTCCTGGAGAAGGTCCACAGGGGACAGACCTTGAGGAGCCACACCAGGAGGTTAAAGCAGAGTGCAGGCAGAGAGCAGGGCAGGACCTGGGGCATATGCCTTTATTAGGGTTCGCAGGTGGAATGCTTTGTGGTTGCCAGGCTAAGTCTGGGTTGGTCAATTCAAACCAAAAAGAGGTTGTGGTAAGCTTTGCAGGGGTCTCATCTAAAGGGTGCACAACCGGAAGGCCCTGGGAGGCCGGGAGAATGCTTCTCACAAGGGCAGTTGCAGGAATCATATCAGGAACTTAGGTTTACTTATGACTCTGTTACCTAGCCCACCAATCCCCTAAGACATTAACCACAACGCTGCTCAGAACAAGCCTAACGGATGATCTTTAGCTTACAGGAAACCACAGAGAGAGGAAGGGGAAGATGACTGAGTCCCATGGTGAAAACCAGTTAAAACTGGTTGAAGGCACCATGACAGTCTGACTTGACCTTACATAGACCCTGGAGCTCATTATATGCTCATTGTAATACATTATCATGCTACGTAACACACTTACCCATGGCCATGACAGGAAATTCCAGACCAAATAAGGGAAGAAAAGGGGTGGCACCCCTTTCCCCAGAAAACCCTGCCCAGTGCCCCATACTGCTATGAATATTCCTCTCCTTCATTACCCTGACCCCTTGTAACAGCTGCTTAATCCCTCCAGAGCTAAGTTCATTTGCAAAATTTGTTCCTGCTTTTCTATACTTCAGCCATTGTATAAAGCTTGTGCTATTGAATGCTCAGCTTCAGTTTTGTTTCCACTCTGTAACACCAAACAGGAAGGAACCACCCAAAGAAGAGCTGGGCATTGTGGGTTTGAGTGCCACCTATGGACTCTTCCTCATGTCCCCTCTGATTGTGCGTTTGAGTCCCAGCAGAGGAAGGCTAAATTGGTAACAGAATTGGCATCTGATTGTGGGTTTAAGTCACACCAGAGTGAAATTGGTAAGAAGTCTGCCACTGGTTATCTAGGGCATGCACTCTCGGGAGGGGTTAGTGTCACTTCCAGGCCCCTGCAGGCTGCTTGTCCACACAAAATGGATGCTGAGGCAGCAACACTATGGAGTAGTTTAGCTAAACTCCCAAGAAAGTCTTAGAAGAAAACATGAGTAAATCTTCATGACTATGGGTTAGCCAATGGTTTCTTTCCTTCTTTTAGTTTTTATTTTTTATTGAGGTAACATTGATTTATAACACTGTATAGATTTCAGGTGTACAACATTAGAATTCAACATCTGTATACACTACAGTGTGCTCACTACCAAAAGTGTAGTTTCCATTTATCACCATATACTTGACCCCCTTTACCCATCTCACCTTCTCCCCAATGGTTTCTTTAAACATGACAGCAAAAGTTCAAGCAACCTAAGAAAAATATGGATAAACTGAACTTCATCAAAATTGAAAACTTGTGTGCTTCAAAGGATACCATCAAGAAACTGAAAAGAGAATAATCCACAGAATGGCAGAAAATATTTGCAAATCATATATTTGATAAGGGGATTGTATCCAGAATACAGAAAGAACTTTTACAACTCAACAATAAACAGATAAATAGCCCAATTTAAAAATGGGCAAAGGCTCTGAAAAGACATTTCTCCAAAGAGGATACACAAATGTCCAATAAGCACATGGAAAGATTCTTGTCATTATTAGTCGTTAGGGAAATGGAAATCAAAACCACAGTACGATGAACTCCCTAGGATGGCTACAGTCAAAAAGTCAGAGAAGAACAAGTGTTGAAGGTGATGTGGAGTGACTGGAACCCTCATACACTGCTGGTGGGAATGTAAGATGGTGCAGCTCTTTTGGAAAACCACTGAGCTGTTCCTTAAAATGCTAAACATTGAGTTACTGTAGGATCCAGCCATTCCGCCCCTAGGTATATACTCAAGACATGAAAACATGTGTCCACACAAAAACTTGTACGTGAATTTTCATAACAGCCCCAAAGCAGAAGCAATTCAAATGTCCATCCACTCCTGATGGATAAATAAAATGTGAAATATCCATATAAGGAATATTATTTGTCCATAAGAATGAATAAAGTGGTGAGATAACATGGATGAATCTTGAGAACACTATTGCTAAGTGAAAGAAGCCAGTTACAAAAGACCACAGAGATTGAATGATTTCATTTATATGAAATGTCCAGAATAGGCAAATCCATAGAGACAGAAAGTAGCTTAGTGGTGGCCAGAGGATGGGGGGAGAGGCGAATGGGAAGTGACTACTAATGGGTACATAGTTTCTTTTTGAGGTGATGGAAATGTTCTGAAATTAGATAGTGGTGATGGTTGCACAATTCTGTGGATATACTACAACCCACTGAAGTGTACATTTTCAGTTGGTGAGTATTATGGTATGTGAATAAAATTTTTATCAAAATAAAAGATAAAGCACCAACTGTTTCCAAGAAAGAACTCCAGGGGCACGAAGGGCTGAGTGCCAGACAGAGATGAAGACTGGTAAACAGAGGAAGAGAGTGAGAAGTTGGAAGACTAGTGTTTCTCCTAAGCTGGCCCCTTGTGCATTACCTGATTGAGCTTGTGAAATGTGAAACAAAACAGTCGTTTATGTCTAAGGGGTTTAAAATGGAGCTGGGAAGCCATTAAGGAAATGGGTCTTATGCACGTCCTCATCCAGCAGGACCATGAACTTTAGAGCTGAGAAATGTTGCAAGAACCCTGCAGCTCATCATAGGGACAGACTTTTGCCTCCCTCTAGCTAGCCTTAGCAATCACTTATTTTTAGCCAAGATTAGTTTTCTGCCTTCAACCCCGATTATCATTGTTTGTAATGAAAACCTCCCTTCTGTGTCTTTAAAAGCTCCCGACTTTTACTCCCTAGCAGGACACTATTTGGGTTTCTACCTGAATGTGCTCCCTGAATTGCAATTCTCTGATCCCCAAATAAATGCCTGTATGCCTCTTATTTGGGTTCTTTATTTTTAGGTTAACATACATATGTGTCAGAAAGTGGGACCTGAAGTGATCTCACCTTCGTGGACGGACCTCCCCTGGAACCGGGTAAGGTAGCTACATGAGCCACCTGGGGCTCACTGTTTCCATGGACTGTGGGTCCTCTCAGGTTCTGACCTCCCTCCATTTGGTTGAAGTCAGTGCCCATTTTTTTTTTGATGGGGTAGGCGACTGTCCAGAAAATGATTGTCTCGGTCTAGTGTGGCAGCCATTGCCACAGGAGGGGATTCCTCAGCAGGGTTTTTTCTTTGATTGGTGAGCACTCTCACTAAATTGAGGGATTTCTCTATTGTCATTCTGCAACTGTGGGCCCTCCAGGACCAGTTCAACTGAGCCCATCTCTTATCAACAGAGTGATTAAGAATTGACTTTAAGAAAATGTTCCTCACAGAACAAGCTCATGGGCAAAGGAAGAAATCGTGACCTGAAATGATCTCAGAATCAAAGAGCCTCCTTCCATGGAACCCAAGGACAGGGACAGACCGGAACTTGAAAGTCAGACCCTTATCAGAAGGGAGGAGTCCCTCATTCAGGAAGATCCAGTGTTAAAATTCCTTCCCCACCTCATCAAAAATGTTTACAACCCCATCACAAATGTTTAGAACCTCATCATAAACGTTTAGAATCCTGACATAAATGTTTAAAACCTTACCATGTATGCTTGAAGCCCAACAATCAAAACCTGTCCAGACAGCAATTCTGCATGCCAGCCTATTCTTCCTAACCTCTTAAATTTCACCCCAAATCCTGAAGACAGATCTGAAGGCACGCACCCTCTGTCCCCCTGCAGATCAATCTTGCAGAATAAAGCTGATCTCTTTTCCCAAAGGCTGTAGCCATAATTCACTGGCTTGTTTATGCTCATGGGGCAGAGAACCCCAATTTTGTGTGGTAACAATTCCTGTCTGTGAGCTTTTCTTTCACACGGGACTTTCATTTTCTAAAGTCTCCTGAAAAGTTTCTCCCTCAGAAAGTCCTACCAGTTTTATGTTTAAGAACTGTGGTTGCCTCTCTTTTAAATTTCTATCTCAATGGACCAAAATTACTAAGCATCATTTAAAATCACAATGACTAGTCAAGGAACATTTTAATGAGATAAGATCATTTAAAAGGTGCACTTAAAAGCAAAGGCTTCAAAATTCTAAAATAGCTTCATTGAAAGTTTTGTTGCAAAAAGCTAATGAAAAATTAAAGCTATAAGAGGGACCTGAAAGACTACACAACCATAAACAGAAGTCCACCAAGTTAGTGGCTTTACTGACACCCTCATATCCACTCTCATAGGAGGTCTCCTGGATGGACCCTTCCAGAGTTGATGAGACTCTGAAGGTTTTTCTGGTAAACTGCTATGTTATTCCTCTAAACAGCCCAGGGGAAAGTAAAATTAGAATTAATGGGGTTATTTAATACTTCCAGAAATGTTTTCTGTTTGTCCCAGCTGAAAACTAACAAGATATTGAGAAGGATTTTTTTTTTTAAGTAGTTCTATGGCCAAAAATTGGCTAAATTAAAAGCTGATATTCAGAGCCTGATAGGAATTTTTTAATAGACTTTCTTCCCTAAGTGTTACCACACAAAATTCTTTCCTCAGGGTTCCTCTTCCACAAACCTTCTATAACTTTCTTTTTTGCATTCAGAATTTGTCCCATGCCTTTTTTCTTCCCTTCTAGTATTTCAGGACAAATTTATCTTTCTTAACAAAACAAACAGAAATATTTCCATTATTTATACCTTCTTTACTGAAAACACATATCTTACTTTCCTTGAATACAAAGATATTTTCCTTGTTAATTTTTAGTAGCTTTAGTTGCACATATTAATTGAAATATTTAATCCTTACAGACCTTAATTTGTAGTGAAAACTAAAAAGCAAGCAATTATGAACTGTCTTTTACATTAGCATTCTGTGTCTTGGCAAGATTATAAACACTTTTCATAATTTCTAGAAACACGCTACATCACAGTACAATTTTTGTGTGTGTGTGTGAGGAAGATCAGCCCTGAGCTAACATCCAATGCCAATCCTCCTCTTTTTTGCTGAGGAAGACTGGTCCTGGGCTAACATCTGTGCCCATCTTCCTCTACTTTATATGGGACGCCGCCACAGCATGGCTTGACAAGTGGTGCATCGCTGCGTGCCCAGGGTCTGAACCTGCGCACCCTTGGGCTGCTGCAGAGGAGCGCGTGCACTTAACCGCTATGCCACCGGGCCAGCCCCTTCACAGTACAATTTTTAATGAAATACAAGACATGTTTACTAATAGACTCAAATATCTTCTAGTTTCTCTGTAATAAGAAGCCAAAAGTAGATAAACTTAGACATGTTCAGTGATAATGTTTCAGTATTCTATCTTATTTGAAAATGACCCAAATAGTCAACAAGTTTTTTTTTTTTTGTGAGGAAGATCAGCCCTGAGCTAACATCCATGCCAATCCTCCTCTTTTTGCTGAGGAAGATTGGCCCTGGGCTAACATCCGTGCCCATCTTCCTCCACTTTATACGGGACGCCACCACTGCATGGCTTGACAAGCGGTGCGTCAGTGTATGCCTGGGATCCGAACCCTGGGCCGCTGCAGTGGAGTGCGTGCACTTAACTGCTACACCACCGGGCTGGCCCCTTCAACGAGTTTTGTATCACTTAATTTCACCTAGCAAAACTTCAAAGTTTCAAGTTACCAGAGAGATTTTGGAAGTTATGTTAAATATACATGCCATAACATAATTATTGTCAAAAAGTTCAGCCAACACATCTTTTTCATATCTATTTAGTTTACTCATTTCCAATAATTATTTAGATTGCCTACAAAACTCCATGAGACAGTGGGCAAAATTAGCATTCATTTTAAGTGATTATTTTTGCTAACTAGTTTTGTAATAGAGATAACATCAGCTTATTTGACCAATAAATGTAGAATAAAGACTGCAGGTCTGCCTCATATGCAATGCTGATAACTCTGAGGACATGCCCACTTTAATCAAGTCAACAAGCTTCAATAAGCTTTCATTTACCAAAGATTATTTTTTATCATGTTAACTTGAAAGATATTTGGGTTAGTTTCTACTACATTTAGAAATATTTTACATAAGTGCTTACTTTAAGCCAATTGAACAGAGCTCTTTAGAAATGATACCATCCAGGGGTAAGATGTCACACACACACACATATAGACACACATACACAAGGACTCCATAGCTACTGTTTTAAAATTACTGCCATGAGTCAGGTACAGTAATACAAGGCTCCCTAGTTATGAATCCAAATTTTGGTTTAAGCTTTTTACTAATATTTGTGGAGCAGATACTCAAGATGCTAGATTTTTTGGTGAGGGTGCTCTTTGGCTGTTTTTCTTTCCTTTTTCCTTTTTTTTCTTCAGTCTTAGGAATTGGTGATGGGCTAGATACTTCCTGGGAAGTTTGCCAGTTCTTTGAGATAAGGGTAATGAATGGAATCTGAACTGCCTCTAGGGCTGCATTTCCAGTCTTGCAAGGATTTTTTTTTTTTTTTTGTGAGGAAGATCAGCCCTGCGCTAATAACATCTGCCAATCCTCCTGTTTTTGCTGAGGAAGACTGGCCCTGGGCTAACATCCATGCCCATCTTCCTCCACTTTATATGGGACGCCACCATAGCATGGCTTGACAAGTGGTGCGTTGGTGCGTGCCTGGAATCCGAACCAGCGAACCCCGGGCTGCCGCAGTGGAGCGCATGCACTTAACCGCTTGTGCCACTGGGCAGGCCCCGCAATGACTTTTTTTTAATGACAGTTGCTCTTAATTCCTCAGAAATTGGGTTGTAACTTAAATGACATTATAGTTTGATCTACCTGTCCAACTACATTTGGACATATCAGTTTCTAACATTCTAATATAGTCTATAAGCATTTTTAGATGAATAGGGGAGGCTTTGGGATTGGAAAAGGGACAAGTCTAGATCCATACCTCTGGCCCTGCAGAGATTTGCAAGACAAAGATGATTGTTTCCAGTTCCCCAAAGAACTGGAAAGGTGGACCCACCCTTTCAGGTACAATTTTTCCAATTGCCTCTCTATATCAGGGAGATTTTTAATTTAAGAGGTGAATCAAAAGATTTTTATGTTCTAAAACTTCAGGACAATGTATCACACCTTTAAAAAGTGTGCACAAAGTGTTTAAAAAGGCCCTTTTTCCAAGTGCACAATTCAACTCTAGATCAATTTACCCTGGGCAGGGGCGGGGGGAGCTTTCATTAGCATATATAAGACCATGAGAGGAAGATGAGACTCCAAATTTGCTTAAGTTCTTTTAAGACTAGCCATTATGAGAGCTCTCAAAATTTTTTTTTTCCAATTTAGAAGTTTTTCCAATTTAAGGATCCATCAACAGGCAGAATCTTAATAATGACTCAAACCGATAAGCATTTATGGCTTAACTATGGATGCAAGAGGTGTCCCCAAAAAAGAGTGCAAAAGAAGCAGCCCTCACAAGATCCAGAAAGTTCACTCCCAAAAA